ACTGACTTTGTGTTACACTGTGGAAAATGTTTAAATTTGCAACCCTGTGAACGCTCCAGTTTTTTCCAGGTTCCTCTCTTATCTTAAATCCATCTCATTATTTCCTATTTTTGTTTTTATTTGTTTTTTCCCTTGGAAACTTGTATAAAACTTGTTTGCATGGCCCTTAAACTTTATTATGAATACTTTAAGCACCTGTATGAATGATTTTTTTTTTTATGTTAGTCAAACATTCTGATGTACTGTACTGCACTAACAGATTACATCAAGTAGAATAACATCAGGCATTAGCTCTGATAACCATGTTTGTAGGGTTGATGGACGTGTTGACAGATGAGGTCAGTTTGTTTGCAAATGACACTGTGACCTGTAGTGAGAGTAGGGAGCAGGTGGAAGAGAGCCCAGACAGGTGGAGGTGTGCTCTGGAAAGATGAGGGATTAAAATCAGTACAAGCAAGATAGAATATGTGTGTGTGAATTAGAGAAAGGGCCAAGTGGAAAAGTGAAGGTAGATGAGTTTAAATACCTGGGGTCTATCATCTAAATCAAAGGAGTGGGTGGGGCGAGTCTCAGGGAGAGGGTTCATGGACGTAGTGACGAAGGGGTTGGGGTTGGATGTGAGGCAGGATTTGGTGAGCTGCAAATAACAGGAAGTGAATTACTGTTGTACTAAAACGTGTCTCTGTGCTGTGTGTTAATGCCAGCTGGGAATGGAGGACGAGGACGTCATCGAGGTGTATCAAGAACAGACTGGCGGACTTTGGAACAATTAAACCTCCCACATTTCTAAAGCCTTTTATTTCTTCCTCCTCTTTTACTTATTTTGTATTTTATTTTGTATGTATGTATGTACGTATTTTTGTTCAGTTTCAAACCATCTGGATCAAAACGGACTCAATTAGGGCTTCCATGTGTGTGTGGGCAGGCAGGCGAACAGGCCGAGGACATGGACCACCGGTTCTCTGAAGTGCAGGGATGAATTCAGCCCACATTTACCAAGAAAAACGTTCTTTTTCCTGCCTGTTTTTAATCATCCATGTAGTTATTTCAGAAGAAATAAATGATCCTATAATAAGCAGCTGCAGTAAAAGGATTAGTTCACCCAGAATAAAAAGGTTTGCTCTGTTTCAGTTCAACCCTCGAGTTTCAGGTTTCCTTGTTAATCTCTATTTTCAGTACCCGCTGTTTTTTGTTCTGGGCCGATGACGGTATGGGATTTGATAGTTTGAAAGTTTGAGTCAATCTTCTTCTTTTGAATGTGCCCCACCTCTTTACCAAGATAGATTAAATATAACTCCTCCTGACAATAAAAGGTTGGAGCAAGCTGTCAAGTTTAGCAGGTCGGTTTGTTTCTGATCGTGCTGAAAATGCCCGATTTGAGGTCTTCTGCTATTTGCCTTCTATAATCCAGTAAACATGGATCTTTGGAGTAAAAAATTTGCCTATATCCTTTATATTTGTACACTACACAGTACATACACAAGCAGTTTATTTGGGTTATATTGGAAAGGAAACTAAATATTAGGGTTGTAGCCACCATGGGATCACCTGTTTTTTTTGAAGTTTCAACATTTCATCTGCTGTTATGTTTTTCTTTTTGAGCCAGAAGTGGCCGTATTTGGTCGATGGGGTGGAGTACCATATCCTCAGTTTGGTTAGGAAGCTGAAACAGATATGCTGTATTAACACCTGGCATTAACATGCGACCCACATCTGGTTGCTGTCACTCACAACAGCCCAAGTTATGATTGAACTATAATCATGATCATTTAATACAGTATCTCATCTATTTGTTTAACTTTTTATCTATTTTTTTGTTAAAACAGTCAAATTAAAAAAATGCAGAATTTGGTTTTCATCAGCAGGGGGCAGCGTTTTATTTCTTTTTAGTCCTATCACCATTTCCTCAGGGGCTTTCTCTGTTAAGAAAAATGTTTTCTTAATAATTTGTCTGACTAAACAAAGGCCACACTGACTCACTGCACCCATATTGTGGTAGAAACTGGTATAACGTCAAAGTACAGCTCAGCCCTAGTTCAGCCTGAGTTGACATCTCATAAACACAACACGTAGGACTTGTTTCTTTACATTCTGAGGGAGCTTTTGGGTAATTTTAAACACAATAATTTCACTTAACCACCTTTAAAGGGAAATTATGAGGCTTATGAAGCAGGCCACATGTTTTGGGGATCTTTCACTGTATGGAAAACAGACATGATGTTCAGCATCTGTTGGATGATTCTGTACGTGTGAAGCACCTGAGAAACCCACAAAAACCCTATTTTGGAGAAACAGGTGGTTGCTTAAAAAGAATTTCTTTTACATTCTTTTGATCCTGGTCGTCATGTTTATTAGAAGCCATAATTCTGGATTAATTTGACAGCTGTACAGACCTCCCGTTTGTGGCTCTATACTTTCGTAGCACCCCTTGTATTAAAATGATTTATATTTTATGTCCAGTACATACAAATTAATGAGGCTGGGTCAGCCATCTTTTCGTCAGGCTTGCTTGAGCTGCGGTAGAGCCATTAAATATTTGTCCTTTTCGATTGTAGCTGAGATTAAAAGTGAGCTCACCTGTCGATGCCCGGTGTAAGCGTGGTGATAGTCAGGGATTTCTGGATGAACTCTTCCTTTTAAGCTTTCATTTTCATGTTTGGGGAGAAAAGAAACAGGTTAGACGTTTCATTCCACCTGTTTTGTGTGACATTCAGGGCTCATAAACAGCTGGATTAGTGGACAGTCCATCATAAGAAGTGGACAACATAAGAGTTTATGTTGATCATCCTCCGTGTGCCATGTTTCTTAAACTGCACCATATTGCAAGATGATAATAACCAACCTGAAATGAAACTACTTCAGATTTGAACCCATTTTTAAAGGACTTGCTCTTTACGTGTATATGTTGTATTCAGTATTAGTGTGTGTGAATGATATGCCATGTATATCTCCAGTGTCTTTATTTTAATATGTTTGAGGGTTTCATTCTGTAATTATGTATGAAAATATAAACCTGTTATAGACACGTTTCAATCGCTGACAGTCACAGAGATTTTTGAAGTCCTCTGGCAGTTTTGTGCAAAGAAAGGTCTTCTGCTGTGGTGTCGGCACGTGTTTTTAAAGCTTTGCTTTCCTGGTTTTGGAGTGAAACTCTTAATCTGTGTACTGTATGAAGTTCCTCCAGAAGGTAAACGCAGCCCCAGAGCTCTGGCTCACATTTAAATCAGGTTAAAGCAGCACCTCAGAGTTCATAGCAGGAAAAATAACGTTAAATAAAGTAATGATCAGTGGCTGTCATTTCCCAGAGGTGTGTGCATAAAAAAAAAAAAAAAAAAAAAGGTATATAAGATTTTCTCAACCTGGCCGGCTGTCTGAAATTTGTCCTTTTTGTGCATTGGTGATATATCTGCTCCACCCAAACTCCACCCAGACGTACAGGGCTGTTATTTGAGCCATAACGCCGATCTCGGTGAGGTGAAGGGACTGTCCGCCACTCGAGGAACATTGATACAGATGGTTTGAAATTCTGGAGATGAGCTTTTGGCTTTTTTTGAATAAAATATTTAAAAACAAAACTTAGGTGTGTTGCATGTTTTTGTGTGTGTGCGTGCGTGCGTGCCTGCTTTATGCACTTGTTGTAGTCCAATAATTTAAAGTGGTCCTGTTATGCTTTTCGTATAATATTTGTCCTGTTCCAGATGTTCATACTGAGCAGTGGATCACTGAACTCACTACATCCTTTAAGAGCCAGACACAAATTGAGCGAGCCCATTAGGAAACCCATTATGTCACAAATAGGCTGTGTGACTGGGTGCTTGATTTTATGGCAACAGTTCTTAATAACAAATAGGTGAATCTCAATACTTTTGTCCAGAAAACACATTTGTTTTCATCAGTTTGTGCAGCTACACTATCAAATTAAATGTAAAACTTACCACAATTAATAAGTCATTTTGCATTTTTCTTATATTTATATTTCATTGTAATAATGAGGTTAAAATTTAATATTTTTATTTATACGCTTGAATTTTATTTTTATACTTTTACATTTTATAATTAAAAGATATAGTTTTTAGTTTAGAATTTTTGGTTGTATGAATATCTGTTTTAAAATAATTGTGAGTTTTGTAAACTTGGATATATTTTTTTTCTTTTATATTTATAATTTACACTTTTAAAATAGTTTGCATTTTGCATCATGCTTACATGATATTTGTATTTATTGTAATTTAGCATTTTGTTTTTAGACTTTTTAATTTTAGGAATTTTTTTAATTTTATTTTCTGCTTTAAATTTTTATAATTGCCATTTTCTTTATATCTTTAGTAAAAATATTTAAAATAGTATGCCATATCTTTTTTATATTTTTGCATTTCATTTTTTTTTATAGTTTTCTATTTTAGTTTTTTACTTATTTATTATTTATAAAAAAATATTGCATTTTATCATGTACTTTATCATTTCCTAATTTTTTAAAAACATTTTATATTGTTTATTGTTGTAATTTACCTTGTACTGTACCAATGTTCTTTGTTTTAAGAATAAAATTAGGAACAAAAGCTTACATGACGAAAGCATGAAGGGAAGTAGAAAAGGTCAGATACTGACTGAGCAGAAGGAAACCAGTAAAAATCATTTGTATTTACAGTCAAGAATAAAATATTAAGAGGGTTAAATAGCAAACTGTTTTAGACCTTTGAAGAGCAGTGGTGGGAATTTTCCTGTTTGAGACAAAACAACCACATTCATCCACAGCACAGCTTACAGATGGGACACTTAGTGCCTTTCTTGTGACTCATGTTTGTGTTTAATTTATTGAGCTGTTTTCAGAAATCTGCAGATTAAAGGCATCGCTGTACACACAGACCCCCGTCACAGTATTCTCACTTTCACATTTACTTCAGTCGAGGTGCAATAAAACATTGAAAATGTGACGTAATCTGAAAAGGAAGTGTAATAAAATAATTTCAGCACACAATAATTTATTCAGCACACTGTGTAACATTTACATTCAGCTATTTAGCAGATGAGCGTTATTAACGCATCAATGCAGTTTTTAAAGTAGCTTAACAGCTTTTGTCTATAAGGGGGATTTTTTGGCTCCAATTTTAAACCATAAGTTAAAGAGTTGTCTGTTTTGTAAAAAACATGTTATCTTCATTTTCCTGCTTCTCAGGCATATGAAGGTGAGGGTGTTATGGGTGTTTGCTGTCAGCAGATGAGTCATCCTCCTTGAGATTATAAAACTAGATGAGTCACTGTAAACATTTGAGGAGTTAAAAGGAAGAAACGAGTGTAAAGTCTGTGCAAAAACCTTTTTTTTGTTGTCCATTTTATCAAACACAAACTCCTCACAAGTGTTCCTGAAACTCAAATGTGGGGTTATCTTCCCCCCGGGTGTCATTTTCCTGGTGCACCTGCTCTCTCAAAGGCCTCTTTGGTAATCGGTATGTGCAGAAAATAATCCCAGAGACAATCATCAGGACCGATCCTGCCATCCCGACACCAATGCCGCCTCCCACGTGCTGAGATTCAGGTGCTGGGGGGAGTTTAAACTCGGGCGGGAACTCGATGGTCTGATTGGTCACCACAGCGCTCAGATTCCAGAGGAGAGGCACGAGCGATATCGCAGCAGCGAGGAGGCACAGCACTCCCGTGAGGATGAAGCCGCGGCGGACCGTAGAGTTCTTACCTATCCCAAAGTAGACAATCCTCATGGAGTAAACACCACTAGCGTTCCCACAAACCCCCACCAGCAGAGACAGGAGCATGAGGACCTGACCTGCAGCAATCTCAGGTGGCGTGAAGGAATCGGTGAGCATGATGTACCTGCAGTACATAACCTTGAAGCCCTCGCTCACCACGGTGTGGCTGGCGAAGCAGACCCTCCAGAGTCCGACCCATGCCACACCGGAGGTGATCACCGCCCTGTCCGATACCTGCCACACCCTCCACTGGATCAGTCCAAGAGCCACGCCGGTGAGCATCCATCCCAAACAGGCCAGCCCGAGAGCACCAAACTGGGCGTGGCCTGTGTGAGCCAGGTAGGTCATAGCAGTGGATTTCCTGATCCTACTGAAGGTGTCAACAGGAGACCGAACACAGGTGGAAGGTGGGCGATGTCACCTCTGTCATGTTTTACTCTTCGGTGCTCCAGCACAGTCTTGCTGTTGTTCTGTTCTCGTCTCACAAGTCGTCAGTTTTTTCCCTCCTTCGTCTCCTGGGTTACCTCCTAAACAAGCACCTGCAGCTCCCTCTGAGAGGAAAGAAACACAGACGCAGCTGTTAGTGAGCAGCAACAAAGCACCATCAACAAAGACTACAGGGCAGCATTTCAATTGGACTGTCTTCCTCTTCACCATCTCAGTGCAGACATACTTCCTATAAATACCATATGTACTTCCTTTTTAAGTAGCCTGTAGGTATTTTTATTTAGTATCTCTGTGAAAATTCTTCAAAGTTATCTTAATATATTAGACTGTTAGTTTTGTATCCTTCACTTTTATTTTAAGAAAGATTTCCTGAAGTGTTAAATTGCCTGGACATATGTTGTTAGAAAAATGGGAAATGGACACAGAGATTTACCGAAACATGCCCATGAATGCTTGTAAATACAGTATATAAGTTAAAAACAGAGTTTGTACAATTCTAACAAGCTTAAAAGTCATTATTTGGTGTGACCACCTCCATGCTTCAGCACAGTCTGTCTCTCTTAGGCAGCTTTCTTGCTATTTCTTTAAGTCGTCTTCAGGAATAGTTCTCCAGGCTTCTTGAAGGACATTCAAAGCTCTTCTTTGGATGTTTCTGCCTTTTGTTCTGTTCTCTGTCAACATGATGCCACACTGCTTCAGTAATGTTGAGGTCCGGACTCTGGGGAGGCCGATCCATGACTGATAGTGCTCCACTGTGTTTTTTGTCTATCCAGGTATGATTTTACTGCATTAGCAGTGTGTTTGCGATCATTGTCGCGTCATGAACAAGATCTCCAACACCACTGAAATGCAGCTCAAACCATGAAAGAGCCTCCACCATGTTTTGTAGATGCCATTGTAATTTTAATTTGGCATAGCTCAGCCTTTTCTGTCTCTCTTCTCTTTCTAAGAATGGCGTCTTGACAGCCATCGATCCACTAGGACAGTTTTTCCTGTTTCTAACAGTATCCTGTTTCAGATACTGTTCATCTGCTGTAGATACATAAAATCATAGCTGTTCTTTTGGTAACTTTAGTTAATTTATAAACTACAGACACCGATAAGTACCTTTGAATTTCACTGGGCCCCATTTGAGCCCACTGTTAACGTATGCAAATATGCAGTCTTATGAGCATACATGGTGAGAAACAGCTTTACAGTGTCCAGGTGCTGTTTTATGATTATTCACAGAGTTGTTTGACTTCCATAAATGAATTTGACAATGAAGCTAAACACACAGTCAAATGTACATAATGACCTATGTCATCTCTGTCTGGTTTCTGACACCAACTAAACTGCTATAATTTCTTTGTTTAGCTTCCACTTTTTAAAGGAATTAACTGTGTTTCTGTTTCTCCTCTAACAACTAAACGAGTTTTAGATAATGCTTAAAGGCTTTAAATACAACACCACAGACATTATGTGTATCTCGCTTTTTGTAATATTAAACTAAAACTAAAGGAACTTTCTACATGCTGGAAAAGAAAGAAAACACACACCATTTTCTCTCAGTATTGATGAAATGAACATTCAGCCCTGCAGATTACCCTCACTCATGTTACCGACACTTGTTCCTCATATCTATTATACACAGCATGTGATGAAAGCAAGTTTTGAAGACATCAGGTCATTGAAATCCATTAAAAAACTGCAGCGTTTAAAGAGAAACTCTTGGTTTTGTTACGTACCTGAGTGGTGCTTTCGTGGAACACCTCCCAAGTCGCCTTCAGAGAAAGAAAACCAGACTAAAACTGCCAAACAGGAAGGCTTTTTTCATTCACAGGTACCCTGCAGCACTTCCTCATCGTGCACCGGTAACCTGGATACAGCTTCTGGTCATGATTGCGAAGCTGTAAATGATTGACAGAATAAAAGTTTAGATGTAGCCGCTGTTACTGGTCAAGTCGTTTTAGTCTTTATGTCCTTTCAGATCACTTCACAGCTCTTTGTTGGGGCTTTTTTGTTATTTTTGAAATGTCCTGTCTTATTTAGGATAACTTGCAGATTTATACATACAGGGAAATTCATAAAGGTTTGTGCTGAAGTGTTTCAGTTCAGCTGTTTAAATGAGAACAATTCAGAGTAAAAAGGTTTGCTAAATAAGTCTTTTAGAAGTGTAAATATGCAGCAAAGGTCTTGAGTCACAACAGTGAGTGTCTACAGCCATCTGTAAAACAAGGTGGAGGCTCTGTCATGGTTTGAGCTGCATTTCAGTCAGTGGTGTTGGAGATCTTTTCCAAAACGGATGAATTATGACTCAGAAAAGTCCCATTAGAATTTGACCCACCATGAAAAACCATCTGGACAGAATCTGATTGGTCACAGCTTCATTTTCCAGCATGACAATGACGCTGTGTCACAGTTCTTGTCATTTGCCTGTTTTTAAATTATGGACTTTAATATTTTCTGTTGATTCCAAGTTTATGTTGTTATTTGCTTTATGTTTTGGGGTAATTTTTTTTTTGTTTGCTTCCTGCTTATAGTTGTGATTATACTTTCATGTAGTTTCCATCCTCTTGTGTCACTTTCTTTGTATTAAGTTCATTTGTATCTGCATTTCCCCGTTTTACTCTCTCTTCTCACTTCCTGCTTTGTAAGATAAGATAAGATAAGATACCTTTATTAGTCCCACGAGTGGGAAATTTCTTTATTTTGATAGTTACTTCATGTTAGCTTCAGTTTGAACTTATTCTTTGTCAGCACGTTTGGTTTTCCTCCCCATGATATTCTTAGCTATTTTTGTATCTGGTTCCCACTCTTGTGGTTTTTCTTGACTCCTTGGATTTTGCCACTTTTTCATACATGTTTTTCTTTTGGACTGTTTCCTCGGTTGTTTATCAAAGGTATGCTTAAAGTTTTTCATTTGACCTACCAGTAATTTCAGTCTGCATTTAGGTGTCCTCTACTCACACACATCAAGAGACTTGGATTGGCCTCCCCAGAGCCCGGACCTCAACATCATTGAAGCAGTGTGGGATCATGTTGACAGAGAACAGAACAAAAAGCAGAAACATCCAAAGAAGAGCTTTGAAGCTCAGACTTTGCTGAAAAATAAAGGTCAGCATACCAAATATTGACTTTCAAGCTCAGTAGAATTGTACAAACTTTTTTTTTTGACCCATATACTGTATTTACATGTATGTTTGCACATTTCAATAAATCCTGCACTTATTTCCCATTTTCCTTGCAACATATAAAGAAATGAGGGATGGTTCAAGAATTTTGCGCATTACTGTATCTCCTAAGCATGACACTTGAACATTATTATTCTCTTCTCTTCCCTTTAAATATATTTTAATGACGTGGAAACGTGATGAAGACGATGATTTCTTCTGTTTAATGGAGGGGAGGTTTAATCCAGAGCCTTTCTCTTTCTTTTCTCTTTCCCAATAAGAAGAGAGAGATCAGAGCAACAGCAGGGAGGACTTACAGTAAAGTCGAATCTCTGGGCTTGGCTATAGCAGTGACTCATTCACAGCAACATTACTGACCTTGAACCATCCCCTGGCTGTGCTGTCTTACACTCAGGCTGACTTCCCATGATGCACTGAGATATTTTCCTCCACTCCTTTACTGCAGGTCGTTAACTCTAGCCGACTCTCTCCTGAGTGCTTTGTTTTTTGTTGGTGATCTCTCAGATGGCCGTCCCTCGCTGTGACTGCTTCTGTTCTGTTAAAAAGGAGTTCTTACTCCCTGCTGTCACCAAGTGCTGCTGATTATTGAGGTTTCTTTCTCATATGTACCTTACAGTATGAAGCTTGTGCAATGTGCTATAAATAAAAGTGAAATAAGGTGAAGGGTTCTGGGAAGGAGAAAAAAGCTCTGATCCCTTAGAGACAATAAAAGACAGGAGTGGCTGTGAAACGTCACGGTGCAAAGTTATAAAAATGGATAATATATAATATTTGAAACACTGAGTAAACAACAGATAAAGACACCTTCTTTTTTTGCCTGGTTATGGTTTCTGAATGACAAACTTCTCTTCACCTCTGCTTTACCTCAGCCCAACCAAAACAAACAGAAACAACATGTGACTGTTTCAAAGGTCAAAACCAAATATCTTTGTTATTTAAATATTATCGGTGCCTTACTAATCTTTTTATTCACAGGTAATCTGACACAGCTATCAGATGCTGCTTTAAAACCTGTAACAGGAGCCCAAAATGCTGCTTTAAGTGAGTCACTTGTTTTTTTCCTGTACGCAGGAGTGTGCAGACATCATTACTCATGCACACAGCCGATGATAAAACATGCCTTTCCTCTAGTGCCACCAAACAAGTTCAGTTTAAGGTATGTTTAAGTACAAGGTGTAATTGTCAATTGATTGCTACAGTAATAGTTAAATCCAGTTATTTTAATTTACATTTTTCCCTATTTTCATGCCCATCGATCTTCTAAGTGCTTTAATGTAATGATTATGTTCATATTTGTGCACATATGTGATGAGTGTTCAGATCTTTACATAGGAAAGGCTGAACAACCATTCTTAACATGCTGTGCTGTGAAAAAGTATTTCCCATTCCTCATTTCTGATTTCCTCCTGTTTTTTGTGCATATTTGTCACAATTACATGTTTCAGATCATCAGACAAATGTAATATTAAACAAAGGTACCCCGAGTAAACACAAAATGCAGCTGTCAAATGATGTTTTCATTTCTTAAGGGAAAAAAATGTATTTAAATCTGGCCCTGTGGGAAAATCTTGAATTTAATGGTGATTAACCAAAACTGAGTTCAGTCTCACTAAACACACTCAGGCCTGATTACTGTCAAACCTGCTTAAGTTAGAAATCACTTAAACAGAACCTGTCTGACCCACCGACCACAATTTAAAGAAACAAAGTCAGTGGCATCTATCACTCTGGAACAGGTTACAAAACCATTTCTAAGGTTTTGGGTCTCCAGTGAAACACAGTGAGAAACATTATCCACACATGGAAAAGACTTGGAACTGTGGTGAATCTTCCCAGCAGTGACCGACCTTCCAAAATTACTCAAGGAGGTCACATAAGAACCAGAACAACATTGAAAGAACTGCAGGCCTCACTTGTGTCACACATTCAACAATAAGACAGAGACTGGACAAAAATGGGGGAGAGTTCAAGGAGAAAACCACTGCTGACTAAAAAGATCACAAAGGCTCGTCTCACATTTACCAAAAACATCTTGATGATTCTGGAACAATTGAGTTCTGTTACATCTGACATAAAACCAACAGCGTTTCAAACAAAGATCATCACAGCAACAGTCAAACATGGTGGTGGTAGTGTGATGGGGCTGCTTTGCTGCTTCAGGACGACTTGCTGTAACTGATGGAATAATGAATTCTGCTCTGAAGGAGGATGTCCGACCATCAGTTCAAGACATGAAGGTTTTTGGAGTGACCGAGTCAAACTCTGGACTTAAATCAGATTAAGATGCTTTGGTATGGTGTTAAAAAGGCCGTTCAGATGGAAAACCCTCCGATGTGAGTGAAGAGGACAGGGCCAAAATTCCTCTGCAGTGATGTCAAAGGTTTATTGACAGGGATCACAAACACTGGATTGCAGTTCTTGCTGCCAATGTGGCACAGCCAGTTATTAGGTTTATGACACACTTACTTTTCCCACACAAGTAGGTTAGGCTTTTTTCCCCTTAATAAATGAAATGATCATTTAAAAACTGCATTTTTCATTTATTCTGGTTATCTTTGTCTGATATTAAAATTTGAGAGAGGCATTAAGGAGGCCATCTGCAAATAGCAAACATGAAGTGTGGGCTGTACATGAGGCTACCGCAGGCACATCTTCACATGCTTACTTCTTACATCGGCCTCCACAGAAACACCAGCAGTGTCTCAGTCCTTTTACTCGGGAGAGCAGAAAATCAGTCACTATTTACGCACTGCTGTATCGAAAACAAGCAGGAGGAACATTAGCACTGTGTCATGAGAAGATAGTCCAGTTTTTACCAAATTCACCCTTTATTCTGGCATAAATAAAATAGCTTCACTCTAAAATGAGATGTGCATCACATGTAAAAAATAACATCTGGACAGCAACAGTTTGTAATAGAAGAATATTTTCCTCAACAGATCGTAACTCTTTTTACCATTTTGGATTCAAACATGTTCTTTCTAGTCTTATTAGACAACAAAAAAGTATGTCATGAAAAAACGTTTTAATTAAACAACTTGCCTTCTTTCTTTTTTTTAAGAAATGATTTTCACTGGGTAATCCAAGTTGAAATGTTTGCTGAGCAGTTATGTGTTTCTTTACATACATTTCCAGACAAAGCTTTACAATAAATTACTACGAAATATTACCTTAAAAACATAAAACATACGTGACCCAGCCACTTTCAGCAAGTTAAATAAAAAGAACATTAGAGGGGACTGGAAACACTGCAGGGTGAGCAAAGTAACAGCGTAATTCAGTTTTATGAGCTTTGGTTTTACGAGGTGCAAAAGAAACGCAGCTTTCATACGGGGAATGAGGAAAATATCATAATTCACGTGTGGTAGCGGTTCTATGTATTAAACTTCACAAGGGTCTAGATAAAGGCTCAGTTTCATAGCTTAGAAAGGCTTCACACAGCGAGCAGCACTATCAGCATTTAACACTCAGTGTAGAAATATGTATGTATTAAAACTCACCCTTACTGTGATATTACTTGATAAATATATTGACCTTGGCTAATAGGTGTTTAAATAGTGTGATAAAATCATAGAGTTGGTTCACTTTGTGCTGGTTTGCTTTACTCCACAAAACAGACAGGGGGCGCAGCTCTTCCACAAAAAGCTGTACTTTGAGTTCCTTGCATAGACTGTATATAAAAGTTGGAACAGGAAGCCGTCACTGCAGTACCTTAAACTTGCATTTTTTTTTAAATAAAGGCCACCAGGGGGCGATACCTTTAGTTTAAAAAGACTTCCAGTTATATAGGGGGCTAATAGTAAAGAGATCTTTGTGACCAAAGTAAACACTTACTTAATTATTCAGTTACTGTTTTCAAGTCTTTTTGAATGAAACGTGACACCCATGGCAACCAATCAGATCAATCACCAAAGACCTATTCACATGAAGCCGCAAAGTTTTCTGTGCAGCTTGATAAAAATATTCCACGATATCAGTATTTCACTCTGGGTCACAAAGCCTGTCTATTAAGAGGACAGTCTACTGACACCAATGACAATCAGAAGAAGACATGCTTGCGGTCACCATTTTGTGGGCCACTGGGGCTCCTATTTTAATATAAAGAAGTGTGGGCTTAATATAAAGACAGAAAAAAAGGGAGGGCTGGGGAAAAACTGAAATCATACAAATTCATGTTAAATTCTGCAACCATGTCTCTGTAACTTGGGCCCAGTTATTGATTGCACTCCTCTTCCTCTCTGTAGTCACATGAGTTTAGTGTGAGCATACCATTGGCTAACAACTTGTCAATCATGAGTCATTAGCCAATGGGTGTACAGTGTCTTTGATTTCTCTGTCAAGTCCAACCCTCTGTCAACACGTCTGCTTTTGAAGCACAAAGACTATGGGCTCAAAATGTGGTCATAAATATTTTGTACTTGTAAATCAGGATTTGTATGTGTAAAAAGAATTTGTGTGTGTGTAAAAAAAGATTTGTGTGTGTAAAAAAAGATTTGTGTGTGGACTTAGCCAAAAAAAACCCTGCAAGTTACAACTACGAATTTTGACCCTATTTTTCTTCCTTTCATCTGATTGGTGAATGTCATGTCAATCACAAATTAAACAATCCAATCAGAGAACAGATGGGTTTGGCTGTCGGAGGGGCGCTTTCTTTGAACTGCAGGTGTTTGAAGGGAATAAATGCCCTTTTACATGCCAACCCAGCGTTTTCCTTCATCACCACGAAGGAAAACAGTCTGTGGTCGTCCGAGTTTGGTGATTTTTGTGTCACAGGTCTACGTGTTTAATACAGGGACTTCCACAGCCTTTTCAACAGCGCTGCGGACGCAGGGGGGGCAGTGTTTTGGAAATGACAGTCTTCATTACAAAGCTTTCTTCGTTATGAAATAGCATACATGTTTTTATTGAACATTTGAAGAACTAGCAAAAAAAACCCACAAACTCTTGTAGTTCACATAAAGTCAGAGATAAAAACAACAAGGAGCAGGTGCATCTAGTACAGGTAGAGCTGCTGCAAAAACCCACAGAGCTCAGCAGCCAGCAACAAATTCTGGAGCCTTTGCTTTTAGTTAGCAGTTAGCATTAGAGCACATCCTGTGTCCGATGTGAAAGGACTTTTATGCTGCGCACTGTGACTCACAGCAATGGTCCCGGGTCAGCCCTGACATTGTGTTAAACTAATCCTAAAGTAATAATGGTATTTCTAACCACTGACATACCACAACTTTATCCTTTCAACAGCTGCTGAAAGTAAGGGGACCTAGCTGCTATCAGATATTTATATAGAGATTACCCTTCAAGGACCTGCAGTTCAAAAAAGTGCCCCTCCGACAGCCAAACCCATCTGTTCTCTGATTGGATTGTTTAATTTGTGATTGACATGACATTGACCAATCAGCTTAAAGGAAGAAAACTAGGGTCAAAATTCGTAGTTGTAACTTGCAGGGGTTTTTTTGGGCTAAGTCCACGCACAAATCTTTTTTATGCATACAAATCTTTTTTACGCACGCACAATTTTTTTTTACACATACAAATCTTTTTTACGCATACAAATCTTTTTTACACATACAAATCTTTTTTACACATACAAATCCTTTTTACATGTACAAAACCGATTTACAAGTACAAAATATTTATGACCACATTTTGAGCCCATAAAAGACACCAAAAAATCTCAAGCTAAGGCTTCATAAGCGAAATTCGCTAACCAAATGGTGACGTTGTGGTCCCCCATCTTTTATATACAGTCTATGGTTTCTGGTTTCATCTGTATTTGTCAGCCTCTGCTTGGGTAACGAGTAATGTTATGACACTCTGAGCCCATTTTGCCAAAAGGGGAGTTCTGACACAGCACCTGCACGCAATAATGGTTTTATCTATTACTGACTTTAATTAAGTCTGTTAAGCAGCAAAATAATGTGAGAAATAGACCAAAGCAGAGAGGTATCTTGCCGCCCTGTATGTCCAAGACAAACATGCCTGGCATGATTCCACTAATCAAATGACAACACATTTGTGTTCTTGTCGAATCCTTCTGAGTAAAAGCTGACCATCAAAAACACCCCACAGTTTTAAAGTGGACCTGTTATATGTGCTCTATGTTTATGTTCATACTACGTATGGCCATCCCTGTGGCCCAAAAGATCCAAACACTCGGTTTTGGACAGTTTTTTTCTAGTCTTTGCTTTAAATTATGTCGTGGAGAAGTCCCACCCACTGTTTACGAGGGGCAACCAGTCAGACATATAGAAGGTAAAACAGCTGTTGTCGTGCTGCACCAGGGCCCAGAAAAAAGGAACAATTTTAACCTGTGAGTCATGTGAAGCTACTCTATTAGAGTCCAAGAATCACAATAAGAGCTGGAAATGAGCAGTGGTGGTCCACTCTGTTTAAGGTGTAACTGACTAATCCTGGTGTCTGATTTGGTTTCTGAGGCTCCTCAGTTTGGTTTTAACAAACAACAGCAACTCCACCAGCATCAAATCTAGGCTGAGGTCATAAACTCACACGCAATTCAAAGATGTTCATATAAAAATGCTACATGGTTCATCCTCTTGTCTGATTCAGAGCAGTGGCCTCTGCTCTAGTGGCAGACTGTCCATCAGGCACTTCAGCTGCTCCTCGCCCAGCTTGATCTTATCTTCCAGCTTGCGTTGCTCGATGATGAGCGCAGACTTCATCTTCACGAAGTGCCTGTAGTCGTCCAGGCTCTCCATGTCCAGGTGGGCCTCCATGATGCTGGACACCAGTCGTTCCCGACGGTCCAGGTTCTCCTTCAGCTCCTTGGCGTCTTCGTGCTGCCGCATCAGCAGCTTTCGCTTCTCAGTCAGGGTTTGCTGATGGAGGACAGATATGAGTTATTAATCTAGAACATCATCTATGGATCATGTAACCACATTAAACCTGCTTAGTGCAGCAAAGACAGTAAAACAGAAAACTTCTTAGGAAGCAGTTACGTATTCACACAATCCAGCATTCATTAAGCTAGATTATTCTTCATTTAGAGTCCTAGAGGTAAATTGGTGGAGACAAACACAGTTGAAGCCAGCTCCTGAGGGAACTATGTGCCATATCTGCTGCACTGTAGATTCATTACCTGAATTTAATTCCAGTTATGATTTAAGCTGCCAACAACAATAATGTCATATGATTATTCTTTTGCATTTGTTTTTTACTGCAGAGAGCTCATTTCATAACAGCAGAGAGGTACAGTACTGTGCAATTTCTTTGCATTTGTTAGAAAAATAGGAAATATATGCAGTGATTTATTGAAATGTGCAAACATACATGTAAATACAGCAGATAAGGCAAAAACAGAATCTTTGTGCAATACTAAGAGCTTGAAAGTCAATATTTGGTGTGACCACCTTTATTCTTCAGCACAGTCTACTTTCTTGTCATTTCTTTAAGTAATCTTCAGGAATAGTTCTCCAGGCTTCTTGAAGGATTCAAAGCTTAGGATGTTTCTGCCTTTTGTTCTGTTTTTTTTTTGTTTTTTTTTTGTTTTGTTTTTTACGTCAGGTCAGGTACAAGGACTAAAGTAAAGGACTAAGTAAAAATGAATGAAGCCAATATCCAGAATGACCTTCAGAAAGCCTGCTAAACCCTTCAGAGAAAGTCTGGATCCATGGAAACAAAATGTAAAGAAATGTGGGTTGGCTCAAGACTTTTGCACAGTACTGTGAACTAAAATGTTTATACATTATTAAGGTACACATACATACATTATTAAACTACACGTTTGGCATCCATGGACAAATACAGTGTTTTGTATGTTAAGTGAATTCAATTAGCATTTTTTATGAGCATAAACAGAAGGTAAAGATTGTTTTACTGTACTGTTGTTATTGCAGCTGCTGTTCTGTCACTGGGCTTCAGGAGGGATGATTAAATAGATTAGCTCAAAGCTTTTCATCTTTTTCAGACGTGCTCATATTTGTAAACTACAAACAATAAATGTGCTGTGAAATACACATAAACAAAACTATAAAATTAAGAGCTAAACAAAGTCCTAAAACTTAGTGTAAACTTCCATAAAGCTGAGGGAAGCAGTCGATTTGGTGGACAGTGTCTGGGGTTACCTTCTCCTCTGGTGGTGCTTCATCCTCCAGGCTGTTGAGGGCGTTCTCCACCCGGGCAAGCCGGCCCGACAGTGACAGCAGCAGGCTCACCACCTTGTCCAGGTCTCCCACGAACATGCGGAACTTGTCGAGCTGGTTGGGCTGACAGACGCGCTGCACGATGGCCTCCACCTCACGGCCCAGAGCCTCATTGTCCTCCACATCCTCCTGCAGGCTCTGCCTTGCCTCCCGCAGGACCTCCAGCTTCTTCGCAAGGCTGGAGATCAGCTCTTGCTGAAGTTGATGAAGTAGACACATAAAAACAATCCATTTACTACTTTAGGATGGCAGAATGGCATGCATAATAAAACATAAAGTGGGCATATTTTACCTTTTTATTGACCAGATCAACATCCAGCTCATCCTCTGAGTCTTGCTCCTCCAGCTGCTCCTGCATGTCCTTCATCTTGATGAGGAGCTCAGCTTTAGGAGCGGACGTGTTATAGTAGGAGGAGCTGGGGACTAGTGAGGCGGCTGCTGACACAGACACTTCCTCCTCCTCCCTTCTGAAATGCACAAGGACAAACACAAACACTCTGACACAACTTTTGCTGACACTGCACGTCTGCACCCAAAATCTTCGAAGTCCTCAACTGGAACTCTTCTGGTGATGACACCAAAATATAAAAACATTCGGTATGTTCAAGCGATCATCAGTTCAAACAATTGAACTTAAGAAAAGTTATTTAGATATGTCACAACTTTGTAAAAGTGTGGATAAAGACATAAGCTGGCTCAATCCTACCATGAACTGGAAAGTGATGAAACACCAGCATTACTGTCCACAATACAGCCAGTTTTACATCGTCATGGATTGAGATTCAAGATTCAAGACGGTGCTGACCAGGAAATCTGACAAATTAACACCTCTAAGCTCGAATGAAATCTTCCCAACCCAAATGTCTTCTAGAGAAATGTTTTATAGTCAAACAAGACAAAGTTTGAGCTGTTTGTCCACAAATACAAAAGGTATGTTTGGAGGAATAAAGCTGAGGCTTTCAAACCTAAGAGCACTGTACCAGCTGTCAAGCATGGTGGTGGTAGCATCATGCTCTGGTGCTGTGTTGGTGCCAGTGGTGCGTTGCACAGAGTGGATGGAATAATGAAGGAGGAGGAGGACTACCTCCACATTCTTCGACTTTATCTCAGATCAACAGCTAGATGGTTGAAACTTGGACACAGTTGTTTCAACAGGACAATGATCCCAAACACATCAAAACTGGTTTTGGATGGATAAAGTAGGCTAACATTAAGCTACTGGAACAGCCTTCACAAAGCCCCGACCCCAAACTAATTTCTGGACTACATTTAAAAGCTTGATCTGTGCTGGAAATAAACCAATTTAAATTAACTCTACAAATTCTGACATGAAGAGTGATCGAATATCAGCCAGAATTATACCAGAACCTCACTGATGGCTACCTAAAGCATTTGATCCAGGGACAACTTGTTAAGGGATATTTTACCAAAAATGATTGGAAGTGTAGGTTTATGTTTGAGCTTTAATGTATTTTTTGTTGAGTTGTTGTTTTTAAAGTCATTAAAGATATATGCTGTACAATGATTCCATCCCTGAAAGGAACAGTTCAAAGAAATCCTTTAAAGCACCAAATTACCATGACAATCACACCCATGATGAGTGGATAGAAACTCCTGACCATAACTGCATTTTATTAGTATAGGAAAGGCCTTTTGCCACAAATAGCTTTAAAAAGTAGCCAGCAACAGTCTAGACAAATATGTTTTTGTTTACTAAATGTGATTTTGTACAACATCCTTCAATTATGTTGGCTGACACTGTTATTTGTTTTAAGTGAATGCTAAAAACTCATTTTTATAGGTTAGTGTTTTCTTAATCTGTTCTCCTTCATTTGTTGTTATAGTTTGAAACATGCATGTATAGGGCTGTTCGATATAACGATATATATCAGATGATGATATAAAAAAGTCTATCGTTTCATTTTATGCTATCGTTTGTTTCGTGGTGTCACAAAATAAACTGTTTACGGCAATATTTTTTCGTTTTGATGGTCACTGTAGTGGCTATATTAATTTCTTAAACTTCTCTCTTTCTCTTATATTTAATATAACCACACTACTGACGGACAAGCGCCTGTCTTTATGCTTTGTGGTTACCGCATCGCGTGTCCGCTTGTTTATGTTCCACATAAACCTTTCACAATAAAGCTCAAGATCCTGTTTAGACTTTTCAAAATAAACTGAATCACTTGAAAGAGTATGCAGAGTATTTACGGATGAGAAGCAAAAAAGAGCCGCCAGGTGTTAAAAAATAAACCTTAGACTCAAACGTTAGAACAGGCTTTTCCACGCAGCACGCCGTGTAATAAATACTCACAAAGAAAACAGCGGCCGTTACAACTTGTGTCTAAAAATGCATAGTTTCATGCATCGGTTAAAACACTCGACTGCAGGTACACGATGCCCAGCTGGAAACACTCCACGTAAGTCGAGCTGCCCGAGATTCACAGAATTTACAGAAAATGTTACATTTTTGTGATTTATATCGTTATCAGGATGATAGAATTCTTACATCGGGGTATGAGTTTTGGTCATATCGCACAGCCCTATGCATGTATGTATGCATGTGTCTGTATGTTTTAACATGTACACTTATCTACAATGTGCAGCTTTTATTTTAACTGTGAAGCTCTTTGTAACTCTGTTTTGAAGAGTGCTGTAATAATAAAGTTATTATTATTATGATTTCGAGGAAAGTGGAGAAATCGAAATTGCAACACTTGTCCACCAGAGGGCAGGCTAGTCTGGCAAATGGAAAATCAGCCTTGCAGTGGCCGCTTCATTCTCCAGCAGTTCACTTTTATACCTGGACTCTACTAGGGTAGCTTTGCATGATTACAGTTAGGAATAATTGTAATTTATCTCAAAGTTGGACTCAGATTATCCTCTGTCTGAAACACACTGTTTAATCTCCTCAATAAGCTTGTTGAAACAGCTGTTATCTTGTGTGTAAAATCAGCCTTTCTAGATCCACTTACTGTTACTCCAATCACAAAATGCACATTTTGAATAGAAAGGTTTCATTTTAAATGTTTCCTGCTGCAGTGTCCCACCTGTCTGTGCTCCTGGGGGACGATGTGAGCAGTCTGGATCCAGTTGAGGCCTTCCTGCGCTGCTGGGCCCCCTCCAGGATCTCCTCCTCTGGTGGGAAGAGCCCCTCCATCAGGTCCATGGTGGTCTTCCTGCCACTCTGGTCCAGTATGTCCACCAGAGACTTGTCTTTACCCATAATGTCCCTCACCAGCTCCTCTCTCTTGGCGTCCTCCTCTGAATGTTGGGGCCCAGGTGAACTGGTTTCGGGGGCTGACTCCTGTGCCGCCTGGCGGTTGTAGGTGCTGAACCGAGATGAGGACAAGCGCTCCGCGGCGCCCAGGGAAGGGATGCGTGGTGGCAGCTCGGACAGGCTGCAGGACCCGCTGTTCTGACGCAGGTAGGCTCGACCCTCGCGTCCTGTGCTGCTCTCAGCGTGAACGATCCTCACGGGGACTTTCCTCACCTGACCGCTAACGTCCATCACTGCGGGGCGCTTTGATTCGCTATCTGACCTGAAAAAGAATCACAATAGGATCAACGCTGGAAAATGTACGTCTCCTCATCCTTTTTTTAATTTTTAGTTTGATAATGTTTTAAGCACTCAATCACCCACATCATTCACCCACCAGTCTTAATATTAACATTAGTATACCTGTAATCATTAAAATTGACTGTCACGACCTTTATTTAGAGATTCTTGTGTGACACAGTGTGGTATGTAGTTTTCTTTATCGTTCCTGTCACTTTTACTTCATCCCTTTGCTCTGTTCCTCCTCTTGAACCTGTGCCCAAGTGGCCAGTAACCAAATTTACATGCACAGATCAGGTCAGTCTGGAGGGGCCTTAAAACTTAAGGCCTTAAAACACTTCTTTATGTTTAGCTTTCCAGGCATTTTACTACCAAATTCGAAATTGTTTACTGACTCTACCTTTTTGTTTGGTTTCCTCTCTGGCACCTTTAAATTAGTTTGACTTTTATTCTCAAAGACTAAAAAGAAATCTGATGTTACAAATCTTCCATGTGAGAAGACATGGCTCCAGGGTAGACTGAAACAATATTTCAGGCCAGAAATTTGATTCCATCCCAGGCCTCAGAGACTGATTTCCTGGTGGCCTGGTGGTAGTTTTGGTCTGCAGTGAATGCTCGACTATAGCAAACACGAGCGAGCTGACAGACCTCTGAGAAACCATACATCGAGTATGATTGTCAAACAGTGGTGAAGGAGACCAAATGAAATCTCCTGTGGAAAGAAACAGAGCAGCCATCTGCGAGCAGGACTGGGATGAGGAAGAAAAAGGTGGTGCCTGGTGTTTCTTCTTTTTCCACCTCCTTTGATCAGCTTAAATGTGTCTGATCTGCGAGATTACTTTTAAGTATTTCAAAATAAAGTTCACAGAGGCGGAGATACAAACTTAAAACACCAGGTGAGGTGAACAAACCAAAAGACAGAGCCCGTAAACAAAACAGAAAGTCATACACGAGGTGGTCAACCATCAAAAAACCAACACAACAACAACACACACAGAAGTTCAAGTCTGAAGTTACAGCACTGTGCAAACCTCAATATTTGGTGTGACCACCTTTATTCTTCAGCACAGTCTGAACTCATTTCTTTAAGTTGTCTTCAGGAATAGTTCTCCAGGCTTCCTGAAGGTTCCAGGCCTTTGCTTGATTTTTTCCTGTTTCTTACAGACACGACTTTCAGATACTGTTCATCTGCTGTAGATAGTTTTTAGGCCTGACGCTTCTTAATTTTGTCCTTCATTTGTCCAGTTTCCTCATTTTGTTCAAGGACTCACTGCACATCATGCTGAGACATGCCAATATTTCTTTGGGAATCAAATAAAATACTATTTTATATCTGTCAAACTGTGTTATGTTTGACATTTTTCATAAATTGAATAAAGAAATTATTTTTAGGTCCGCTTTAAATAGCTTGACCAATATAACTCTGAAAATGGTCTGAAGACTGAAAATGAGTGAAAAAAACAGCCAATTACTTTCAGAAAGCCTTGAGAACTATTACTCAAAACCACTTTAAAAAATAACAGGAAAGTCTGGCTGTTTGGAAGCAAAATATAAAGAAATGAGGGGGCGCAGTGCTTTATAACAAGAAAGTGTGAGTCTGTTTATGAGTCTGCTGTGGTCAGTGCCGTCCTCTATGCTGCTGCATGTTGTGGCAGCAGGTTGAGGGTCGCAGATGCAAGGCCAGTAATGTTGTGGGGATGGAGCTCGGTTCCCTTAAGATGGTGTTGGAGAGGCGGATGTTGTCCAAGATAAGGACAATACCTCTCAACCCCTCCATGACATGCTGGCCAGTCACATGCTCACGCTCAGTACAAGACTGAGATTACTCATAATTCACCACTGAACGACACAGGATCTCTTTAATATTCGGGGCGATCGTGGCTCAAGAGTTGGGAGTTCGCCTTGTAATCGGAAGGTTGCCGGTTCGAGCCCCGGCTTGGACAGTCTCGGTCGTTGTGTCCTTGGGCAAGACACTTCACCCGTTGCCTACTGGTGGTGGTCAGAGGGCCTGGTGGCGCCAGTGTCCGGCAGCCTCGCCTCTGTCAGTGCGCCCCAGGGCAGCTGTGGCTACAATGTAGCTCGCCATCACCAGTGTGTGAATGTGTGTGTGAATGGGTGGATGACTGAATGTAGTGTAAAGCGCTTTGGGGTCCTATGGACTAGAAAAGCACTATACAAATGCAGGCCATTTACCATTCTGGATATTTATAACTGAGCTACTTGTATATATATTAGAGCTATTTCTTATATTTTGTAAACTTTGTAATATATTTATTTATTTAATTTAGTTCAGTCTGTTAATGTTGTTGTCTTGGAGCAACTGTAGCCACATAATTTTCTTTAAGGATTAATAAAGTATTCTGATTGATCGCCTGCAAAGCTAAAAACAAATTACAAAGACAATCTGGAAATATCTATTCAGACGAAGACCAGCTGTAAAAGCAAAATAGCAAAAGGTTTGATCTGCTGAATAATACGCATAATAATTGTTTTTCCCACTATTTTCAGGTTCCTGTTTTAAAAGTGCATCCTCAGTCCTACAATTATTATGGGACATGTAGTTCAATAATTACAGCTCTCAGAGCAGTTTCTGGTATTAATCCTAAGACTGGTCTTTAACAGCATCATTTAAAGAGAACAAATGATGTGGGGGATACAGCCCTTAAACCATTATCAGGGTAATAAACAAAGGTGCAGGTAACTACAACATCATGACACAATTTGCAACAACATGATGACATTTGTCATTACAAGGTAAATTTTCTAGATAAGATGGATGACAACAAATAATATTAAACTTCAACTGATTAAAAGAAGCTGAAACATGAGGGAGAGATTTATATAAAGCGAGTTTCTAACTGGAGGAAGAATCGCTCAGCTGAACTTGAGTGGAAATCAAAGGTCAGAGCTTTCATGTGGCATTGAGAAAATTACAGCCTCCGGTCTGATTCTGTGAGCACTTTTTTGCATCCACAGCTGCTGGCAGAGCGGCTACGTCACCGCTTCGGTCGTTATTTATCTTTTGTTTGTGCGCTGTTGTCGTGTTTTCAATCTCACGTTCCCTCCTGGACTTGTTTACCTAAAGCTGCTCCTCAAAGCCTCTTCCTCTGGGAACAGGGAAGGAGGAACTTTACGTAACAAGGAGGCAGAGAGGTTAAGCTGCTTACCTGAGCAGTGAGTCATTCTGCACAGACGCGGCGGGCGGTCTGTCAGTCAGCCTCAGTGGCGCAAAATGTGGCGAGGGGGACCGTGCTCCATCGGGCCCGGGAAGAGGCAGAGGGGCCGTGCAGGAGGTGGAGGAGGAGAGAGGGGATGAGGAAGGAGAAGGTGAAGCCGGCTGTTCCTTCACTTCATGTCCTTGAGCTGCTTTGCTCTCGTCTGCACAGGACATCTCTCTGAGGCGAGGGGAGCTGGCCGAGGCGGGGCCAGCAGAGGAGACCTGATCAGCAGCGGCAGTGGAGGTGGCAGCATGGTGCTGGGTGTCAGAGGCAGCGCTGGACAGAGGCTGGACTCCAGCCGGGTCTGCCTGGGCGCCAGCGAGGAATTCCTGGGAGGAGGATGTGGTTTCTAGGCCTAAATGGGGCCTGGGTGGCGGCAGGAGGCTCTGGGTTTGTGGCGGCTGGGCTGGGTGCTTGGAACCAGGGCTGGGGCTGAGGCTGCGAGGGCCGGAGGACAGTGTGGTGTGGGCGGGAATGGCAGCGGGATTTGTCCTTTGGTCAGGGAGCCCTGGGGAGGGGCCCTCGACCAGCTGTGGGCTGTTGTCAGGCTCATAACTCCGACTCTCCGACTTCACTCTAGAGGTCAAAATAAAGACAAACCTCATCATAAGCACCTGAGGAATATCAAACATCACGTGGCTTAAAAATACATCAATTCATTTCATCTCCAACACGATGATTCAGACATTTTCAGTTCACATCTCTCAGGAGTGTTAAATATGTGCTGCCTCCTTTTGGTCAGTTCTGGGAAGAAACTGGGCATCAATATGAGGTTTATCAGGATGATTGAACCACATATCTGAGCAAAAAAACAAGTCTGCAACAATATTTAAAAAAATAGTTTAATACAGTTTATTCTCCTATTTTTAGTTGGATAGATAGATAAATGCCTAAAACAGCTCATTTTCTAAATTAATAATCATGAAGGTCTCCCCCCTGTCTTGTTATGAGCAGACACCTCTCCCACATGGTGATATGAGCCTTGAAAGTTTAACCAAAACACACCTTCTGAAGTTTTCTCCACTGAATTATGAGAAAACAAGTAAAAAAGGGGAACAAACGCTTCACAGACATTAAACTGCTGCAGTTGTGCTGATGAAACTATATATGGAGCTATGGAAAAAAACAGATTTTATCTTTAGATTGTGACACTTGGAGTGGGTGTAAAATTGCCTTCACAATTTCATATGGATTTCTCCTGTACTTATGAAAGTATGCAGGAAAACATCATGTCAATTTTGTACGTAAAGGGCTGATCACTGGGAAAGTATTCACAATATTTCTTAATTAAATATTCTAAAGTTCTCAGCTGGTTAAACAATTCATCAGATCTTATATGGAGCAACTTGTGCAAAATTCATCCCTCTTGGGTGAGGTGTTTCTGGCATATCTGACTGGGACGAGACCCTGGGGCAGGTTTACATCAGGTTACATGGATACAAAGTTCAGAAGAACCTGTTCACCTGGTGCATTTGAGTAATATTACTGATGACTTTGAGGTTCACAGGTGTGGTTTGAGTGAGTCTATTACAGTTCACGACACCCGAACCACGAGTGTGAAAACCAAACACAGAGCTTGGATTGCAAGGGAGCTAGTCCACAGTTAGGGGCAGGGAATAATTACAACAACCACTGAAATGTTTCCAGGGCTCCAGCACCAAATCTTAAAGCTTTTATAGGACTCGGACCCTCCCAAACCTGTTCTTCCCGTCTTTCACGTATCAAAAACCAGCATCCTGCAGCTCATCACTGAGCTTAAAAAGAGCTCTGATGCATATGCTGTTAGATTGCAGTGCATGCTTTTTATATTTGCAGATATATTTTCAGGGATTGACAGTTTTAAGGAACATTATTCACATAACAGGCTAAAATATCTAAACATGTTTAGAAGAATATGGTATTATTAGATATCTAACACGTTAATTTTAAAAATGTAGGATGTTTTGTTGCTTTTTCCATTTAATATACACAGTTCGATGGGATAAATAAAAGAGTAAATGTGGAAAAATCCAATACAACAAAAGAAAAAAGTGCATATTGTAACACTAGAAAGAAAGAATTTGAGCATCACTTTGGCATACACCTCTGAGTCAATATTACGCTGAAAGATGAGTTTGAATTTCCCTTTTTTCTTAAAGGTGTTTATATCCCACCTTGCATACCAGGCAGCACATCAACAAAAGGAGTGAATGCGGAGGATTACTGATCATGTATGCAGCAGATAAGTGTTCTTTGTCAGCAGCAGCTTACGGATAAACTGATACCCTCTCCACCCACTGTAAATCCACAGTAGCTTCAGACACGTTTTGTAAATAAGGGTGTAGTTGACGACTGGAGTCTGAGGAGAATCTATTCACCCAAACCTGAGCTTCAATAGCAAAAGATAAAGTTTAAAAAAAAGGTTCTAGTTTGACTGAAAGTGATCACTTCAGCTCAGGAAGCCTGAGAGGAGAAACTGAGAGCAGTTCTTTCTGCACTGAAATGTCACAGACTGGATAAATTCCACATTTATATGAAACTTAACAGATATTTCTTCCTGTCAAATGTCCCACTGCAAAGTAATATGTATTCCTCTAAACACATTATAGGAGTTGGTGAACATAGAAGAAATGTTTAGAAAAGCCTGCAGCCACCCCTTATTCATTTGCATTTGGATTTAAATAAGCCAGGCTTTTTGTAATTTTTAATAGTGGTCTTCTTGTGGTCTGAAGGTCAGTCAAAGTTTTTCTTTGGACATTGGCTTTCAAGAAGCCATTCTCAAAGAAACGAAACAGGGAGAAAAAGCTGAGGTATGCACAATTGCTCAAGAACTGCACTGAAAATCAGTCGGAACAGGTCTAATGGAGTGATGAATCCAAATTGGACATGTTTTGGTCCAAATGTCGTCAGTGTGACACAACAGTGTCTACTCACTATTGTTGGAGAACTTGGCAAAATTGATGAATTATGAACACAGAAAAGTACCATCAGATTTTGATCCACCATGCAATACCATCTGGAAAACATCTGATTAACAACAGCTTTATTTTCAAGCATGTGAATAATCCCAAACACACTGCTAATGCAGTAAAAGCATACGTGGATAGAAAAACACACAGTGGAACACCATCAGTCATGGATCGGCCTCCCCAGAGCCCGGACCTCAGCATTACTGAAGCAGTGTGGCATCATGTTGACAGAGAACAGAACAAAAGGCAGAAACATCCAAAGAAGAGCTTTGAATGTCCTTCAAGAAGCCTGGAGAACTATTCCTGAAGACGACTTAAAGACATGAAAATAATATTTTGTTTTGGCTTAATATACTGCAGTTCACACATGCTTCACTAAATTGCTGTACATAGCTTCCATTTTTCTAGCAAAATATAAAGAAATGAGAGGTGTCTCAAGACCTGCACAGTACTCTAACTGTAGACGCAGTGAATGATTCGTGAATCAAAACCCAGTGCTGTTTTTTGTATATTAGTGGTACATTAGTATATTAATCTGTAAATTAGTAGTCCAATCAAAAATTAATCTTACCTGGTAGCTAAACTGCCCTTTTGGGCCTGAGTGTCTCTCCAAGAAGAAGGAATTTTCTGCAATAAGAAGGTGAAGTTTAGTGTGCCATTCATTGAAAACAGCAGCATCAGTTTGCTCATTTAAATACTTAGTACACTTTAGGGTATTTGTTGTGCATATTTTTACTTCTCAAGAATAGTGTCACAAAGGCTTCTTATAACTGTGACTCCATTTTTCCCTTATCTCAAATAGGACTTTTTAGTTGCCCAAACCTAACCAACAACCAAATATGCTTTACAACTTAAGGTTATCTTCCAACCTACTTTTGTACTTTTTTGTTGTTTGGTGGTCTAGAATATAAAAACCATCCTAATCTTGTTCACCTGTGTATAGAAGTCTGCAGAAGGCGAAGATCTGGATCTCTCATGGATGCAGATGGCCTTCTCTTCTGCACCTGCATCTAAGATATTCTCCGCTGAGTGATACCGCCCTTGCGTCTTGCCTTCCGATGACTTCTTCTGCTTGTTCCATGTGGCCTGATACTCAGCAAATGTTCCGAGCCTCTGCTGCTCTAGTAAGACTTCGTTATGTCCAGGGTTGAGGTGGTTGGGGTCTGTGGATGGAGGAGGCTCAACAGACCCTATAGAAGGTGCTCTCTCTTTGGGTTTGCCCGACTCATCCAGGTCTGTGTTCGAGTTTGCACTCTGACTTGACTTCAGTACAGGCCTGGAAAAGGCTGGTTTCGCCTCAAAGAACTTCCTCCGCTCCCCAAATGAGCCTGCTTGGGATTCTCCTTCCACTCCCACTTTGTCTATTTTGTCAGGCTCTGAAAACGAGTGCGTCCTCTTTGCCAGTTGACATCGCTTACGTCCTCTAGTGCGCCCATTTGAGGTTTTAAGCACAGAGGCCTCTGGTCCCTGGGGTTCTAGGTCTCGTCTCTGGAAGGAAGTGGCCTGGAGGACCCTGGCCTGCGCCTCTTTCAGGTGGTCCTTGTAAGTATTTGAATAGGAAGCAGCAGAAGATGCAGAAGCTTCCATAGATCTCCATTCCTCTGCATCCTCATCCTCTGCATCACAAGTCAGAGTTGCAGCACTGCGGCTCTTTTGCAGCTGGGCTCGCTTCTGCTGGATCTCTTTCCGAAGGGTGGTGGCATAACGGTCACTGCGGCGATTTGCTTTTCCACTGCTAGCAGCCATGGTGTCACTGGTGTCCTGGGTGGACAAGACAGTTGTGGTTGTTGCTGCCAGAGTCTTGTTTTCCAGAGTCAGGGAGTGGAGGAGTGGAGTTTTCAGGGCGGTTATTCGTTGGTCTTCTTGAGGGACCCATGGGTCTTGATGTCTTGGAAGATTAGCCTTGTGATCTTTGACTTGATGTACTGGAAACTGTATTTTCATGTCATTAGTGTGACCTTCACCTCTCTTTGCAGTATCCTCTGGACTACGTCTTTGAACAGAAATTTCAGAGGTCTGGTGGTTGTAGTGAAGTCCATTCCCAAAGTGGGAATAGGTATGGCATTCCTTATTTTCAATATAAGGTATTTGGGACTGAGGCAGTGAGTACTTTGCCTTAGTGTTAGTCTTCAGAGAACTTGGGTACCCTGTTTCATTGCTGTTCACCCAGTGGTGTTTCTCTGTTTCTGTCATCCGGCTTTCAGTTTTGCCCTGCCTAGCCTTGTACTGCGCAGTCTTACTTGCAAGACCATAGTATCTCTTATGCCCTCCACTCTCCAGGTTTGGGTTTGTAGCAGTGCTTACCATGGATGCTGCAGAGTGCGGAATCTGCCTGCGGCTGAAAGCATTTGTGGGCAGATCCTGGAGGCTGCGGTAGTAGCTTCCTACACTTTGAGTCTTGGTGGGAGGAGCCTTTCCAGTCTGCAGGAAGTAGAAGGGACTTTCATCACTGAACTGCCTCTGGTGGGCAGGTGGTTGGGTGTAATGAAACTGTCTGACATCACTGCTGGACAAAGAGAAGTGTTTGTTGGGGTTAAGCTGGTTGTGGTTGTAATCAGCCGGCATGTTTGGATGGAGGAAGTCTTTGGCAGGTATTGGGTTGAAGCTACGTCTGGTTTCTGAGGATTTCTCCTGATGGGATCTGATGCCATTGTGGTGGTTACTTTCTGGCAGTTTTTCAAATGATGTGCCGTGGCTTTTTGCTGGACCTTCAGAGTATGGAAACACCTTTGTAGCTGCAAAACTGTCACTACGCAGGGGAGGAGGTGGCGGAGGAGGAGACTGAGACTTTTTCCTGTCTGGTACCTGCCACACTGGGCCTACGTTGGGTCTCCCTGCAATGGAAACACGAGATGCTGGCTGCTCCTTCCAGCCTCCGTTCCCCAGTGTTGGCTGCAGATATCTGGGCCGCTCATTCTGCTGAGGTCCTTCATTGTGAACACCCTTGAAGAAAATGCTTTCAGTGCTTGTTCCCTTTCTACCAGATGCATTAAGGTCATGAACAGGGGGGCTGGAGCCACTTGAGAAGCAGCTAAACCCAGAGTCCCTCTTGCCTGGTCCCAGTCCACAGATTGGCTCAGCACTGCTGGTGTATTTATTTGGGGAAAGACGACCTGCTGGGTAGGGATGTGAGGGACGCTCAAGTTTCTCCATGTTTTTCACTGAACTGATCTGACTGGTTTGCTGATGCTGAATGTTCTGATCTCCTTGAGTGGACGACTCTTTGGGCCTGGAGGGGATGATAAGAAAAAAATATTGTGATCTGTCTACTAAAGACAAGGTAAACCACCAAAAAAGCTCACCTTGCTTCATGCTTTGGCTGCCAGACTGGGGCTTGGGTAGCCTCTCTCTCAGGAGGCTCCTCCTCTGTCAGCTTCGAGGCATACCAGGAATGAGGACGTGAGCCTGGGTCATTCTTCCTGCAAAGCAGAAGCACAGCAAACAATTTCTCAATACTCTTTCTCAAATTCTTTCATAGAAGACAAGAGTTCACTAAGTTCTACAGGTTAACATTTCTTCATGGGCTTTGCAGGCCACCATCATCCAAATCCTTCCCCCTGATACCACTGTGTATTCAATCGTTTCAGGACAATAGAGTATTTTAAACAGTGTAAATAGTCTTATTACTCCAATCCACAGAAATGCAAGGAAAAACAAACAAAACAACCCATGATCATTAGATAAAATTTATGGCACCATTACACAAATATTTACAAAGAACTGGTAAGAATTATATAGCTACACTGTCCAAAAACACTAAAATTAATAACTGTAGTTGTAGCAGACTTGTGACCTGGCAGCGTTTGCTCTGCACCCACGTTTTAATCATTTTTTGAATGAGTTCCTCTTTCAGTGACACTTTTTGACAGCTAAAACCGTCAGCAGAATCTAATCTCACAGCACCATATATGATTTAGCGGTCGGATGCCTGATAGCGAGTAGTGGGATGTTATTCAATGATGGCTGGCAACCAGTTTTGTTGCTTGTAGTTGCACTCTCTGGAAGTACTAGCATTTTACATCTTAACAGGCGATAGCAAAACCAGGGGAAAATATATATTTCTAGAGAAAATATACTTACATATTGTTTAATATTTGCTATAACTTAACACTGAAGTGACCAAGCTATTGTGTTGACTATAATGACTGAGTGGGGTCTTAATATTTTAATAGCTCTGTTGTCTTTCTCATATCTCTATGAGAGATATTCAAAAATGTAATGTTATTAACTATACTTTTAAATGAAAACTGGCAGCTTGCACATCTGGAAAGCCACCAGCAGTGCTAAAAGGTATCTACAAGTTTTAGAGCAACATATGCCTGACGTCTTTTTCAGGGAAGGCCTTGCATATCAAGGACAAAAGTCCAGAAGTAGGTCTCCTCAATTCCCAGATGTTTGTAGACTTGTTAAAAAAAGAGAGGATGCTACACAGTGGTAAACATGACCCCGTCCTATGTTTGTTGAAACGTGTCGCTGCCATCAGATTCAGTACGAGCTAATATCTTTCCTAAAATACATTTTCTACAATAAAATAAAAAAACCTGCTATGTTTCATTTCTATTGTCCATACTAATTAATAGGAAAAGCTATGAAAAGTAGAAGCAGATTGACAAACACATGATAGGAAACATTTTCATAGTTAACAATATCACAACAACACCTAGAATGACAGGGCACTCAGTGACTTGAAGTTTAATGAATATTTGAATAATTAAAAATCATGATCATTCCTAATATTCAGATATGCTGTTTGTTTAAACTGCAAAGAGCAACTTTTGCAGATGAATTTTTATTTTATTTTTTAGTAACACATTTGTGATCTCGAATAACAACTAATTATTTGTTTGGGGGGGGGGGTGCTCACTGTGTGCCTCAGGCCTGCAAACCCTATTTTAAACATCATCAGTACCTTGATAGGTAAGACTCCACAAAGGTAAATCGACAGCTTCACAGTTTAATTTGGCTCACATCAAACATGCACGTACCCCTTGAAGCGGTTCTTCCTGGAGAGCATGTTGAAAAAGGATCATAGACATTAATTTTTCCACAACATATCAAACCACAAGAAAACCATGCAAGCAAGTCATGTTAATGCACTGTACGTGTAAAATCTGGTAATTCCCACATCACAGAACTGATGACAGACACAAATGTGCAAGTAAACTAAAGATACTTGGACAGCTAGCACCATACACATTAAACTACTACAAAAGAACACAAAGCACAATGATCTGACGCCATGTAGGTCCACCAAGAAACTACCAGTAAACACAGCCAGACACAAGCTAACTGGATGGTACCTCATAGAGCTTCGCAAAATCTTGGTGAGAAAGCTCCTCGCCACATGCACCTCAGTTTCTGATGGCATTGTACTTGGTGACACAACATCTACCATTTTAACCCTGATGGGCAGTGGGCGAAGAAGAGAAGCAGGAAGAAGAAAAGGTGGAGGAAAAGTCAAGCGTTAGAATAAAAGATGTCAATCAAATGTAGTTTTTTACTTATTAATTTCCAGATGCTCTGGTTTTCCCCCACAGGGACACGTCACCTCCTTTCCTTTTTCAGTCTACACGTGACCTTGATTTACAAAATAAGCCTCACTTTCCCCCCCAGAATGATCTGAAATTAGCAGTTGAGCTCATGAAGTCATCTGGAAAGTGTTTACTGAGGTGACAGAGTGAGGCTGCTGAGGACGGTTTTCCCATAAACCTCTAAATGGTTCTGGATAGTTATGCTTAAATCTATTTCCTGTTTTATTTGGTAATCATTGGTTCTCATGGATTCCTTTTATTTCTTCACTGTGACTACCCTGCTCTCATCAGTTTCTAGCCGGCTAATAACTAAGCTCAGCATATAAGGATAATATTAGTTATACAGCAGCTTTTAACCAGAATGTCAGTGACTCTGATCCGGCACACGATTCTTCATAATTCACAGGTTATGTGCAACTTCCACCAACATCTGAACAATACTCTAGGACAGCGGTCCCCAACCCCCGGCCACAGACCAGTACCGGTCCGTGAGTCGTTTGGTACCGGGCTGCGAGAGTTGAGGCTCGGGTGTGAAATTTATGTTTTTCAGGGATTTTATCGTTAACTCGGTTTCCCTGGGTGTTTTCCAGTAGTTGTGTGTCTTATTTTGAAAGAAATATTTACGCGTTACCATAGCGACCAGAGAGAGCATTAAGGGGCAGAGAGGAGGATGTTACTCTCAATGTTGTTGGCAGATTTCAGGAGGACGCTGCTAATAAAGTTACACAATTACACAGTGAATTCATGTTTATTATTATTATATTTACAAAATACCACAGTTTTTGTCTTGGTCGTATCATTTTATTTTGTTGTATTTATCCACAACACCTTAAAGGCCAGTCCGTGAAAATATTGTCTGACATTAAACCGGTCCGTGGCGCAGTAGAGGTTGGGGACCGCTGCTCTAGGACACAGGTGTCAAATATGATGCCTGGAGGCCAGAATTGGCCTGGCAGAGACTCCAATCTTCTACAACTTTGGAAAATGTGAAGGACAGCATAGACGGTATTTTCATAACTTTTACAGAGTGAAACCTGACTCGCAGTCATTCATGCTACACCTGGTGAAAAAAGTTTTTTCTGCTATCTGCTTTAGATATTTGTTTTGTTTTTTTAAATTGGTTCATACCAATTTACACAAAAGGATTAAGAAAATTTGGGGGTTTTTGGGCACTTTTATATTTTTACTTGTCTAGCTCGCAGTTGGCCCCTGCTGGTCCTTAAAATAATGCAAGTTTAAAGCTACAGTTGTCGTTTAATTGCAGTCTTTGTGAGAAACAAGTTGGACCGTGATGTGTGACATTTAACTGAGCCGCCTTGTCATTGTTTTCAAGTGTAAGCTGTTAACTTGTGAGGAACATTTAATCCAGAATGATGTCTAAAGGTCAAGCGAGCAGGTTTACTGGCTCCTGGACTTGATCCGTCTCTTACTGTGAAGGACTTTCAAATTAAAAGACGGATCTGTCAGAGACATATGGTCCCGATGGAGCTTAGCAGCTTAGAAAAATTAGATCTGAGTTGGACACCCCCAAACCTCTCTTTGATACCACTCCTTGATATCAAACTAGCTTTCTTTTTCATCTTAGCTGGTGCTTTAAAACACACACTGCTGTTTATTAGTCCAGGAACGAAATATCTGGACCAGATGAGACTTTTACCTGCCCTGAGCCAAACATTAATCCTGCCAGGCCGCGATGGCGACGCCACATTCTTTCAGCAAAGGAATGCAAGGAGGTATTTTCCCTCGCTTCAAGCGGGACAGCGATACTGGCCGCCTTCCATGATTCGCTGTGATGGAACAAATTTTCAAGCATTATCTAAATATTTATACTTATTATTTTCTCAGAAGTTTAGTAAGTCAAACTTTTTCAGATAATAATGAGATTTTTTTTTCAAATTGTATTTTTTAAAAAAAAATTGTATGTATTTATAAGCATCCAAAGGTTTGATTGATTCAATAAATGTTTTGGTTTTTGGTCTTTGGTGCCCTTTGCTGTGTTGTTTTGTGATCTGGAGGTTCAAAACTCTTTCCTACTACAAATCTGGTAAACTTTATTTATTGTACAGTTTGGTAAAAATGGAGCGTTTGGAGTTTATAAGCAGCTTTCTTAATTTGGGATCTGAGGAGTGCACTATGAAGCCAAATTAATGGGATAGCGAGGTATTTTGTTGCCTGGCTATATTAACATTATAACTTGTTTTAAGTCTTGCTCTCTGTCTTAACTTCACTGGTATCTAATCAACATTCGACACTTTCCCTGTTTGCTTCACATCATTTCCTGAAGATCAGCATCAAACATTTTGGGTCTGGCAACACTAAGTGCGATATTCTCTGCACAAGGTTTCATACTTTCAACCTGAGCTGAGCCTGTAGTGCAGTAAAGTAGAGCCATGGAGCACCGTGATGGGAATGCAGAAAGTCTGCTTTTACACTGTAACAGAACATACATTAGAAAACAGAGGATCAAAACAAATACAGCTGAGATATGAGTGACTAGTGTTGGGCCTGGGTGAATTTATTTTAACATTAGCCTCCCATATTTCTTTACGTTTTTCCACATCTGCACAATCATTTGCTGTTTCTACAGAGTCGATATCTGTATTTAATCACCAACACTGCCTCCCCTCCATGCGACACAAAAAGTGAGAGCTCCAAACAAGCTGCTGCACAAAGAAAATGCAAATGTCCCCTCTTTCTAAAGCGCTGAGGGTCTATTGTCAGGGGGGCGCAGCTGTGCTGTCACAGATATTGCTTCCAGGAAATACGAGCCGCACCGCGTTCATTCAGGAAAAACTGAACCTGAAACTGAAACGTGGCTGACCCAAATGGCTGTGAGAGCGATACAGTCAGCTTCCAGTTGGGCCTATTGCTGAAGCAGAACAGAAGCAGCAGGCTCCCAGTCACTTGCAGTGGATGGCTGATATTAAGCATTTTTGTAAAAGGGTGTAGCTCAGGAGGAACAGCAGGTGTTCTACTGCTCGGGAGGTTGGTGGGACGATCCCTGGCTGCTCCAGTCTGCATGCTAAAGTGTTCTTGGGCAAGATACTGGACTTGAAGTTGCTTCCCATGCATTCATGTTCATCAGAGGGCAAATGCTAAAAAAAATGCTTGCCTTAAATGAGGCATGTTGTGTAAAGTAAAGCTGTAAAGCTCCAAGAGGACAATTAGAATGGAAAAGTAAATACAGTGAGAACCAGCCCGATTACCAAACGATTAATAATAAAATGATTTGGCTCTCCGACCCAGCTACAGTCCAGATGTACCCTGGGATGCAAGCAAGCATTATCGCTTGAACCACGTGAAAAGTAACAAATGATCTTTAGAAGCTACTCGTCTTGATTTCTTAGTGAATATTTGACTACTGTAAATAAAATCTGGATCTGAGAAAAACAGCGAGAGCTTTGTTGGACCGTGTGAAACAGATGGAGGTTACAGTCAAAGGAAGAACTGATAATATTCCCACCTGATTGGTTACTGAGTTAAAGCCAATCCGTGCCAATCATGGAGCAGAATCTTCTAATGTAAATCTTTGGTAAAAAAATAAATAAATAAGAAAATGCAGAGTTTGCGTAGCGTTTGAGTATTGAGGCTACACTATCTGCAAAAGTTAGCAGAAACAGAACAGCTGATGCTTTAAGATAAGATTTTTACAGGGTGCAATAAAGGTGCTACAACAGTTACACAAACAAAGAGTTCAGTCCCTTAGTAACCAGCTGTGACGCTCTGATACTGTCACTTCTATTGCAAATAATAGAGTCCCGACGATAACCACGAGTCCACATTATGACCACATGTTAATCATTAGAGACCGTGCCGTACATATGTCTCGAACCAGCCTTCATTTCTTTATATTTGCTAGGAAAAGCAAGATCCATGAATGCTAGTGTTCCACTGTGTGTTTTTCTATCCGAGCATTGACGCGTGTCTGTGATCATTGTCGTGTTGATTCATAGGTCAGAGTTAAGTGGCTTTACAAACAAAAAATATTCCTATGAAAATGGTCAGGTGTGAGGACTGGACTGAAAATGAGTGAAAAAGCAGCCAATGTCCCAAGAAACACTCCTCAAGGGAACTTTAAAAAAAAAGAAGAAAGTCTGGCTCCTTGGAAGCAAAATATAAAGATAAGATGAGAGGCTCAAGACTTTTGCACAGCACTGTGTAATAGATCGTTAGGAATGAAGTGGGATAGTTCTGAATGAAAGCTTTCCTGTAATAACATGTTGTTAATTAATAAAAAATGACTGAAACAGATTCAGCAATTTATTTCTGATCTCTTCAATTATTAATAACGTGTATCTGCTGTTAACTCTGAACTTTACCATTACCTTTATCCTAGTATGGAGCACGCTTCAGCTGATCTCAGTGCCAGTACTTGTCATCTTCTTTATATTCAGTTGGTATATCTCATAGTTTTAAGTTGCTTCAGTGTGAAAACCATTTCTGCTGCCCCTGCGAGCTGCTTTGCAACCCACTATGGTCATAATTTATACCCTTTCTCTGATTGCTCAAAATTGTCCCCACCACTAATTCAGTGCTAATTCTACTACTCTGCTTACACTTGTAACCCGTATTTGAATCCTCTCTCCAGCACCTTTCAGAGCCGAACGGCATTTCATCGAGTTTCAGTAATAATCTCTGCATCATCACATGATGTTCAGAGGAAGCAGAGGGTTGGTTGCTTAGTTGGAGCCAGGGGAGGACACCGTGTGACGACATCAGGAAGCAAGCGCAGGTATCTCTGTCACTGTTTCCAAAAGTCTGTGTACCCTGGAGGGATTTTATTTGCGTTTTGTTTTTTTTTGCAGGCGGTCAGCTTTCAATGACCTAAAAGAGAGCTTGCATCTGAAAGAAATGCTCAAACTTACAATAAAATCCCCAAGTATCTGTCGAAAAAGGCTTAGAAGGTCAAAAACGTATAAATATCTAAAACACACCTGCTCTAGACAGCAGCAAGTCTTCAGATCTATCTGACACCGTGCAGAAATCAGGACTATTATTTTAACTAAACAATGATATTAATGAAGGACTAAACATTAACTTACCAGCTACATGAAACAAGTTGTTTCATGTGTACGTGTAAGCTGATAGTTTTGGTTCACAGTGCACACTTTCCCTCCATTTCTCCACACCCGCTTCTTTTTAAAAAACACTTGAGGACAAAAAAAGACGCACTTAAACATGAGTACTCCCACCAGCCGATGGAGACGAGCACCCAGAGGAATCTGACAACCCCATGACTCAAGAGCTACTGCCTCCTCCTCCTCCTCCTGCTGCTCCCAGTCTGAACACACACACACAAACAACACTCCTCCTCAGGGGAGGAGATTTCCTTGAGGATTATAAAGTGGGGGATTTGAGAAAATGGAGGGGAGGAGGAGTTATTGTCCTGTCCAGCGTCCTTGCTGTAATCTAGTGTTTGGTCTGGGAGTTGCTGCCTCTGCAGAGAGCCACTGAGGCTGCTGGGAAAGTAAATGAAGACAGAGCAAGCACGATCATGGGAATGTGGGATTAAGCCATTCATGTCATAAAATGTGACACTACCTGGATGATGTGCTTTGAAAACATGCCACTAAATTTTAGCTGAGAGTAAAAACTTCAGAGGGCCAAAATCCGCAGTTCCTCTAGTGGCCACTTGAGGCCGTCTTTAAAAAGGACTCAATCCCTGTAGTATCTGAAGCTAAAATGCCCAACTGGACAGGAGCCAGTGATCATTCAAAAATGTAAACTTCTGGCTCAGAAAAATCAAACACGGTGGTCAAAAAGTCTAGAAATCAGTGGCTCATGTCAACCTCTCAAAAACATTCTTGGTTTTAACCTCTAAAACTAACACATTTTTCTATGAAAGGTTTTTCTCACACAACCCTTGTTTTTTCCCACTGCTGACATCTCCTTCTGTGTCCTTCCCAGGAACTGCTGCACAGACAGGAATGTTTGGCCCAGGTCCACGTCTGTTTTCAGAGATACCAGCAAATGTCAGACTGAGGGGGCAGAGGCTGAGTGACTGCCTCACCCTGAGATAACTCCTCCAAAGAGGGGGAGGAGACGGTGACAGCTCTGCAGCAGTTTAAAAACTGTGTGTGAAGGCATGTTACTGTTCAAATCCCCCACCTTATCACGTTCACTTAAATATGCGGCTGCTCTAAAAATGAGACAAATAAGCTTCTTTACTGTGTTGTAAACATTCACACAAGTCAACAGTTTTGATACGCCAACTTTAAAACACCACAGGAACCACACAAAGGTCTGAGGCTGCTTCGCTATAGCCATACAGTGAGTACATGCTTTTATTCCAAGAGCCAATCTTTCCTCCAATTCTTGCTGTTTTAGGCCAACAAGGCAAAACAGTAAAGATGGGTTTCAGGTTTTTATGGGAGCTTTTGATGAATGCACCATTAATTTAATTTGCTAGGTTGACCAATACTGATGTATGTGTCCAGTTAGTTTAACTTTAAACAATTTCACAGCTAATTCAGACCCAGACAATCTACTATTGTCCAACTTGTGATTTAAAAAGTCAGAAAAGCAGAGCCACGTCTGATCTTTATATTTGATTCACAACATGTGTTATACTGCATTGCATGTAAAACTGGCAAAAGCACATGTGAGCCTTCAATTATAGCAGTGTTTGAACCCACAAATACCAGACATGCATGGATGTTGTTTGGAGGTAAATCCGAGGTGCACATTAGGAAGATCAGCCAGGCTGTTTTGGCAAATCCTAAAACCACAGTTGGAGATAACAGGTATCATGAAGGTGGTTATCAACTTTTTCTGTTAAGCCACACTTTCTACGTCAGGCTCTGTGCACGCTCACATAACAACGGGGATTTCACGTGTCATGTGACTCTTCTTCTGCATAAATGATCCCTATGAGCACCACCTACTCCAATCAGAGACATTATTATGTAAAATGGTGATAAAACTCTATAAAGAACGTAAAAATACAACACTGTTGCAAAGGTAAGATTAATGCTCCAGAAAATCATGAGATTTAGTGCACAGAGTGGTAAAATAAACATTTAAATTCCACTTAATTATTTTATGGGCGAGTGTGCTCTCAGTACTGTTGTTAATTAATTAGTTATAATAAAATTCACCTTGCTCAGAGATTTTATGAAAGGGGAAACTTAGAGATTAAAATCTTTTTTGTAGTAGGATGGAAACACGTTTACTTTTGCTGTAAAGATGGACGTCTCAACTATGGGGACTCTAGCGGCCACTTGAGTCTTGAATCAAGCCCCAAGTGGCCACTAGAGGAACTGCAGTTTCTTCTATTTTCTAAACGTCAGTTTCTGCTTTTTAGCACTGTTTCATAATAATCTTGTCCTCAGGGAATAAAAAGACAGAAGATTTTTTTCACATGTTTTTCCATGATGCATCATACCCAGAAGTGTCAGTATTTGCACAGGGAACCTTCTGCATAGCTTCTTTAAAAAGCTCAACTTTGTAACTGAGACAGCTCAGTACCCAATTTATTTTTGTTTTCCCAACAAGACGAGCAAACTTTTGTATTTGTAATTAATTAGCTGACCCACAGCAGGATACTGACTTATGCAAGAAATGTTTGATTATTTATCACTCATATGACATCACCACTCCCTGTGTCACTCCATTCCTCCCTCACCCTTTCACATGCTGCTGATTCACCATCTTGCTGACACTGGAACCCAAACAAGCGGCCGTCTGCGGGGCTGATCTCGCCCCCGTTGAGCTGTGAACGCTGCCTACACAAAAGAAAGTGCCAGCATCATCACAGCTGGGCTTATCGATGTGTCACTGCCCGCCACGGGAAACAAAGAAATAGCTTTTTAAAAAAAGAACAACAAAGAGGAGAGAAGAGGAATCGAATGCAGTGCCGAGAAAAGTGCAAAAACTTTGTTCAAATACGTGATCACCAAACATCTGGAACATCTTCAATTTTGACTAATTCAGAGTCACAGTCTCAAGTATCTTTACAAAAACCCCAGCAACCTAATTTTAGTCTTAACCTGATCAAATTTAGGCATTAGTAAGTATGAAATCACCTCCTGCTGATCTATCAAATCTCCAGAAAAAAGCAGATCAGATAAACTCTTTACTCTTTACAATGAGCTTTAACAATAAATATACAATTTAATTCTACTACTATATGTCCATGCTACAGCTTTTTTTAAAATATGTTTTCAGGCTGTTGGCAAACTGATATACTTAAAGCAGTGACAAAATGTGATTCAGTATAATAATTAGCCAGTTTTTTGATGGGTCCTGTGCAATGTTGAGGTTCTGCTGTTACTTCTGTTAGGTGATTGCCAGGCTGTGGCACATTATCTAAGTTTTGTGGGTCTAAATGAGATCTTTTTGTTATGCCGTAAAGTCAAAATGTGGCTACAAATGTAGCAGTTTTGTGGGTGGTTGCTAAGCAACGTCATAAAAACTACATAGATGAGAACCTTCAGGGGTTTTAAGATGTACATGCGCGCCAAGTCTGATT